CTTACACAGACGAAAGGTATTGGCTAAGAAACTAAGAAGTGACTATCCAGCTTCAGTTATGGCTGTATCCAGCAGCTCAAACTTGATCATTAGGATTTCCTCTTTCTCTCCTCTTAGCTCTGCTTTCTTTGTTCTTGAGTCTCTTCTTATATAAGGAAAGGTGGCTGCGACAGCTGTAGATTCAAAAGGCACTGCCCTCTCCCAAGATCTGCATATCACACTAGGGAGGGACTGATCTCATTGACTAGAACAGCCACCACAACTGACAGTCTGACCAGAACCATATGGAATGGGAAGGAGAATCCCCAAAGGAAACAGACATGCTAGCCAGGGGGAAAAAAAACTCTAGATGGGGACCAAGATTATATTTATACAGTAAGTTGGGAAAATTCTCCTAAAACCCAGATCACTGGACAAAGCTTCTAGGGGTGTGGAATTCTGGGATCAGGGCTTTGAGGGATGGTGCGAGCCATTGGGAAGTTAGAATGAGTCAGCTCAGGCTAGCTCTTGTGCCCACATCTTGCTGCCAGGGGATGATGGGAAGAGGGAATGTCTGGGCCCTTGAAGTTCTCTTAGTGGAAGGGGGTGCCTATCAGGACTCCCGTAATAGGGAGTTCCCTGAACATGGCTTGGGGTTTTGAAGTGAGACAGCCAAATAAATGACAAATGCCCACAGTGCATGATGATCCAAGTAGCAAGTGTGAATCCTAGTTGAATCCTAGCCAGGAATGTGTCAGACCCAAGCCCCTCAAACTGGAAACTATTTCAGGAGATCAGAAAGAAACCAGGGAGATAGGAGCAGGTCAGGAACTGAGGTGCAGGGACCAGGCCGTGCAGGTGTTGGGCGTCAGTTCTTGCTGGGAGCTGGCCACTGGCGAGGGGCTCAGGGGTCAGACAAACAACAAGCTTTGGAGGTTGGTAGATCTGAGTGTAGATTCCACTTCCTAACAGTGTGACCTTCGGTAAGTTACTCCATATTACTTCCCTTCCCTGTTAAATGAGGTTACTGTGAGATTTAAATGACATGAAGCACCTCACCCATGCTCAGGAGGTGTCCCTGGCCTCCTTATATGTCCTCTGTCCCTTCCTGTCCTTGGCCTGTGGTGAATTCACAGGTCAGAGGGGCTGGAAGTACCACCTGATCCTTTTGCCCACCAGCTCCACCGTGAACTGTGCTTGCCTCTCATCCGTGTCTCCCTGCTGCGTGTCAGGAGGAGCTGAAGAACATCAGCTGTGACCCGGCATGGCCGTGCGCTGAAGAGGGACAGCGCTGCCTGTGGCCCGGGCCCCACTAGGACTGGAGCCATGTTACTGCTTGAGATGTACCTGGAAGTTTCTCACGTAGATCAGCAGGCCTGAGGCCTTGCCCTTACTTACAGGGCAGTGGGACCCTGGCTCACATATGCCTGACGTATGTGTGTAGGGAGGGGGTCTTCCCCTACACGGATGTCCTGGAACCTCCCCTGGCACATGTGTTGTGTTTCAGTAAAAAGTCACTTGATCACCTATCTGTTACCTGCTGTGTGCTTCCATCCTACATTAAAATTACACTCATTGTGGTCCAGGGACACATTTTGATGATACTGGGATTTAGTGCACCCTCACTGCTACCTCCCTCCTTTATGCTCCTCTGGTTCCTGGTTTGGACCTTGATTACAGCACTAACTGGGGCTGACCCTGGAGCCTTTTGAGCTGTGAGCTCCTTCAGAGCAGAAACCACATCTCTTTATCGATGTCACCTGAACTTAGCCCAGTGCCTGGCCCATAGTCAGATCACAGAGAATGCTTGTTGAATTGACTTGAATTTCAAATTCTCAACACAAGCAATACTTAATTATTCGTCTTCTCATAACTCTTGTCATGTTACTTTTTAAAATTAAAAGTGGCTAATTTTTTTCTATGGTAGAAGTAAAACTTGCTTATGATTTAAAAATTTTGAGAAATCTGAAAGGACCAAGGGGAGGGGAGAAGAAATGAGATGGGGGGGAGAGAAAGAAAAAAAAATGTCTAAAATCCATCCTACCCTTAGCTGTTGAGAGTTGTCTAGTTGTATCTCATACAACTATTGTTAATGTAGGTGTTCAGCCTCTCCGCATGGATGGTTCTAGTGGATCTCCACCAATAGATACCTTACATTCAACATTTCCAAAATCAAAGTACTAACCTTTCCCCTAAACCTGCACTACCTGCATCTTCCTCATCTCAGTTAATGTCAATTACTTCCTTCAGTTGTTTAAGCCCAAATCCTTGGAACTATTTCCTATTCATTTTATATCTAATTCATGAGGAAATTCTGTTGGCTCTACTGTCATCAAAATACGCCCATAATGTGACCCCTCCTCACCATCTCCACTGCTCTCACCGTGGTCCAAGTTGCCATCACCTCTCACCTGGATGACTAGTATCCTCCCACCAGGCCTCCGTGTTTCTACCCTTGTCCCCCATCCCCTGTCTAGTTCAGTACATCAGCCAGAGCAGTCTTTTTATAATGTAAGGCAGACTATGTCACTCCTTTGCTCCAAACCCTCCCATTTCTTTCAGAGAAAAAGCCACATTCCTACAATGGCCCACAAAACTGTAAACCATCTGTACCTCTCTGCTGGCCTCTTGAACTTGTTCATGACACACAAGCTACACTGACTTCCTTGCTGTTCCTTGAATGCACACTCCTGCCTTGGGACCTTTGCATGCATTGCTCAGTCTGCTTAGAATGCTTCTCCTCCAGATATTCACTTGGCTAACTCCTCTTCCTCCTCCTTCAGCTTCTCAGTGGGTCTACCTGACAACCCTCTTCTGCTTTGATTTTTCTTCATAACACTGATCACAACCTAACCTAATACATATTTTATTTATTTGTCTTACTTATTATCTCTCTCCCTCAACTAGAATGAAAGGATTTGCACATTGCAGGATCCCTAGGGTCTTGGACAGAGCCTGGCACATAAATATTTGCTAAGTAAAGAAGGAAACAGCAAGACAACTTGCATATTGCTCCAAAAAGGGAAGTATGTGTATTCATTTCACTCTCTTCCTCTAGAAGTGTGGAGCAGAATGAGTTTTATAAGTAGGTTGGACAAAAATAATTCAAACACTCATGCTGGCATATTTGTTCAACACCTACAATAGAAGAAAGACTGTGTTGTGTGCTGTGGGGGGATTAAAGATGTCTCTTCCCACATGGATTAAAGTTAGTAGGGGGAGGAAAACTCCTACTTATGCTTAGAAGCTCAGTTCATCCAGCACCTTCTTGTGGTGCCTTTCCTCAAATTCCCTAAAGAGGAACTAATTTATTAGTCTCTTTATGTTTCTGTTATAACACTTAATATGCTGTATCATGATTGGTTTGTTTAAGTTTTTAAAATCATACATGCTTCAGGATATGCACCATATAGTTTTGGTCTCTGTAACCCAGAACCTAGCACAGACCCCTGCACATGGAAGGCACTCAAATGTTTGCTACATGACTTAGGTGATGGGCCACGTGAGCAAATGACCATTAAATATGAGCTCTGGGCTCTGATTGGTAAGATAATGGCATTCAATGTTGAAGTAACAATATAAATTTAATGATATAATTATTTTTAAACTGCACTATAGTGAGGCATGAATGGAGAGCAGTTTACGTAACACCGCTGTTATATAAATCCAATTTTTAAATAGTTTTTCTTCTTTTTTTTTTTTTGGATAGTTTTTCTTTCCTTGCTTTACACTTATTCAAACAGATAATACCTAATAAAGTGGAAATTTTCATCTTAATTCTATATATATAAGTATATACATGTATATACAGTACTGATTACTTTTATTATTGAAAGCAAAAATTTTGTAAAATATGGGATACACCAATTAGAAGCACTTAGGAATTAAAGTGTGTAATTATGCTTCTGTGTGTGTGTGTGAGAGAGAGAGAGAGAGAGACAGAGACAGAGACAGAGACAGAGACAGACAGAGAGAGAATTACTGGAGATGACCAGTTAGCAGAAGTAATGTTACCAAACTAACAAGAACCAGAAGTGCCTGGAGAAAATTCTCCAGTTATTTAAGATTCAAAAGTGTGTACATATGGGGTGAAATGCCACATATCTCATAACAGCAGAGTGGGTGTGGGCCTAAACAAGGTGGCCTGTCTAAAGTCACCGGTGACTCAACACAAACTCAGGAGGTAAAGAACGCAAGGCCAAGATGACATTAGGTGGAACTTTTCTGACAAGGAACTTCCACTGAAGCTTCTTACTCTCTCCGTAGTTTTGCCTTTTCCAGGCTACTGTTGATTGGATCAGAAATTGACAACTGATATAAGCTGGACCAATCAGATTCTCTCTTTGTGGACTTGGGATATAGGACCAAGAGGCAACTACCCAGTTTCTGCACAGAGTTGGAAATGAGGTGCTCTAGACACAGAGGGTGTGGATTAGTTGTTGCCGGAGCTGTACAACGTAAGTGTAACGTTCTGCCTGCTAAGGGAGAGAAGGATGAGGTAGAAACTGATCAGGTGGCAGGCAGAGTGAGACTGAGGGACTACAGGGTGGAGCAGCTCAGAAGACTCCACCTGGAGCCCAGGAGAGGACAGAGACAGTGCATCAGGGGTTGGGTACCCTAGGTCTAATGATGGGGTGATTCCTGGGAAGGGAGCTGAAATGATTTAATCCCTCCTCCAGGGAACGCAGGCAGAGGGTACAGGAACCAGATAGGAAAAGACACCGTGTATTTATCCCCTTGAAACTGATGTGCAGAGACCAGCAAGGCAGGGAGGAGTCCTGGGAGAAAGTTGAGGATACTCCATACTTGGGTATCTTTACCATCTTCCCCAGAGGCCAGGCCTTGGCTTGTGTTGGGGGGAGGGGAAGAAAGTGATGTGGAGGCTGAAGCCAGGATCCAAGTCTGGGCTAGAGCAACTGAGCTCCCCAATGTAGAGTAACTGCGGGCTGAAGCATCTCTGCGCCTCTACCTCTGTGCCAAGCCCTTCAGCCACCAGAGGAAAATCATGAATGAAATCCATGGCTTTGGAAACACAAAAAGTCAGAGGGATTTTATTTAAATAGACTTTAATCAGAAGTAAACTAGAGTTTTGTGTGCAAATTTATTTTGGTTTTTAATTTAGAGCCATCACCCCATTAACTCTGGTGTGTGCATGTACGTCATTCCGTAGATCGGTGTCCTCGTTGTGGGTGTGTCCGTGTGAGACTCTGTCCATTTATGTAATAGGTCTTTACGGACTCTTCCTGTAAGCCTCTGTGTCCACTGTGCTGACAAGATGTGATCTCATCTTTATCATTCATTCTCGTTACTCATTTTTCTTGGGAAAGCCTTCAATCATCTTCCTTTTTCCAGTCTCTCCCAGACCACGGCGCTTGGAAGTGTGTGCAGGTGAGGCTGGGGTGGTTCATGAGGTATCCTAGGCCAGAGCTACTCCTTTCGGGCGAGGCCTCAGCTTTCGCAGTTCAGCGGGTAGGAGTAACGGGTCCCGCTGCAGCCGCAGAAGCGCAGGACCACAAACACCGCGAGCCCCAGCAGCAAGAGGGCGCCCAGGGACCCGAAGAGGATCCCGAGGAAGGCGTCAAGTTTCACGCTCAGGTGCTCACAGCGCATGCCCCAGGCCGTGTAGATGGAGAAGGGCACACAGCTGGGGACAGAGAGCGGGGACGCGGTCAGCAGGGGAGGAGGCTGGGGCTTAGCCTCTCCACCCCGCCTCCAGGGCCAGGGAGGTTTTCCACGACAGGCTGGGCTCCCCTCTAGGGAAGAGGCGGAGTCAGCCCTGAGGGGGGGCTGAAGCAAGGCCACTGGGCAACTGAGGCGGGCGTGGAGATGAATTCACCTGGGTCACCTCCACCTGGACAGCGAGGAGGGGCGGGGCTGGCCGCAGGAGAGCGTGCGCAGTCACAAACCCAGCCCCATCTCTGAGCGCTGCCCCCTTGCCCCCCTCCCCTGCCCCGGTGCCCAGCTCCATCAGTCCCCTCCTTGGACCCCGCTGCAGTGGGCAACCGTTGACGCAGATGGAGGACGCTGATGTCACAAGAGGGCCCGGGTGGCGCTGCTCTTCTTAGCAGTCCTGAGCTCCCCTCACAAGAGCCCCGCAGACTGCTAATAAATCAAGAGAGCAGAGGGAACAAGGGAACAGAGGGCGCCAGTTTGAGAGGGACCTCACTGACTGGTACTGTTAAGGAGGGGCAGGGCCGGGCCTGGGCACAGGACAGGGGGTTCCTTTTCCACAAGGAGACAGCAGGCTGCCCACCCAAGAAGCAAAATCTGGTGGAAGAGTTTGGCTTTGGAGCCCTTATCCTGCTACTTAACTGCTATTTATCCAGCCCTTAACTGCTACTTAACTTACTGGGTGCCGCGGGCAGGTTCCCTATCATCTCTAAGCTGCAGCTTTCACATCTTTAAAATGGTCATAATATCCACCCTGTAACTGGTTTGAGCTGCAGAGGTAATATAGCATCTTTATTCTCTACACAGGGTAGGCACTCACACGTCTTCTTTTCCATTGTCCTTTTTTCTCTGATCCCCTTTCTCTTAATTACAAAGGAAGCATCCTAATTTTCAGACACCGGGAGGTACCACGGCATTTCCGGACCCCTTGCAGTATCTTTGCCCAGCTTGGATTCCCCAGCACTGCCCTCTACCTCCTGTCCCCAGCCCCACTCACCTGCAGTGGGGTCCATCAGGCAGGTGCTGGCACTGGCCTCCGTGCTCACAGTAGCCCTCGCTGCATGGGGACACGCAGGTGAAGCCGCTCTGGGGGCTGAAGACCAGGTGGTAGCCCTTGTAGCTGTTGCATTGGAAGTAAGTTTCCAGTGTGCTCACATTCACTGTCAGGCAGGACACAAGCGAACAATGGAACACAACTGATTAATACCAAATCTGTATCTTTTCAATCAAGAATTCCATTTCCAGGCACTTATCCTGAGAAATAATTGGAAACATGCACAAAAGCTACACATGTTCATGGAAGCCCAGAATAGCATGGTTTATAATACCAGCAAAGCTTGACAGGAGTGGTTTTGTTTAATAAAGAATATTGTGCAACCAGTAAGCACCATGGAATAGAAAATGCATCGGTTAAGAGAATATGCTTTGACGTCAGCCAGACCTGAGCTGAAATTCAAATTCTACTAACTAGTTGTGTGAATTGGAGGAAATTTCCTACCTCTTTCAGCCTCAGTTTCCTTATTTTTAAAAGGAAACTACCTTGCTGTAAAGTTTAAGTGAGATAATATATGCAGAGTATTCAGTACAGTGCCTGACATGGTAAGCTCTCAATAAACGGTCACTGTTAGTATAATATTCTGTTTAAAACATAACACCCTATATTAAAACTGTAAAATGATATATCAAATTGGAATATGTATATAATATACAAGGCAATATGTTCATAATTGTTTAAGTACTGAGGAAGTTATCAAACATTAGGTATGATTTGATCCCTTTATTGTAAAACAATACTGATATGTGTGAAATTTCCTACGCATAAAAGAAAATTCAGAAGACTATGTGTTAAATGAATTTGTCTCTGGGTATTGAGATTACAGGTGATTTTTTTTTCTTTTTGTTAATTTCTGTTTCCTAGTTTCTACAATAAACATATTGTACTTATATAGTAAAAGTTGTGGGGCTTTTATTGTTTGTTTTGTCTAACAAAAGGCACAGTCATATCTAGGGTAGTCATTCCCTTACCCCCAACCCTTCCTCCCCGCCACACATACACATAATAGTTGGGAGGATTTCACATTGTTGCCGCCTGGGAGGAAGGAGGCTTAGTCTGGATTCTAGAAGAAGCTCTTGCTTGTCCTGGACTCACGGAACACAGCAGCTTCCGTTGGGTGTGGCATGGTCCCTGCCCTGTTCTCTGCCTCACTCACAAAATAGGGTGGGCCATTCCTTTTCTTCTCTGGTAGACTTGCCAACCTCTCATTCCCATCAACTGGGGGCTCTCGGAGTTGAAAGAGCCCTCAGAAGTCCCATCTCATTTTCCAGATGGGGGTGTTGAGACCCGGTTTCAGATGGCTTTTGCACGGGGTCACATTCTTTCAGGGAGAGGATGTCTCTATCCCTGGGCCAGGTCTCCAGCCTTCAACTTAATATCTCCAGCCAGAGGGCAAAGGCACAAGGATGTCCTTGTTTATGTTTATAAAGTGCAATGGTCTTTAAACCAAATCATTAACAATTCTATAGAAAGAAAACCATTAGGAATGATGGTCAGGCAGTTGGAGTGATTGTTCTGTGAAACTGTACACGTAGGGGTGCATCGAGCAGTATTTTGCGCTCCTGCTGTTGAATCTAGAAGGATGGTGGGTAAAATGTTTATAATTTCTCTCAAAAGTTACAAACAAAAAAGTAAATTAACTTGTTTCTTGTCTGTGGCCCACTGTAGAATACATTTCAGCCATGGCTGGTTGGGCTGAAGCTCTGGGCCAGGCTCCCTCTGCTTCTCCTCCCTTAGCTACCCCAGTAACTGTCCCCAAGACAGTGACTCACAAGCCATCACACTGTGCACGTTTTCTCTGGAGATAGGGCAGAAAACCACATTGCTCCTGGGCCCCTCACTTCTCTTCCTCCTCCTCCACTGGGCCTGGGGTAAGAAGGCCTCCACCACTGCGTCCAGCAGCTGAGTGTTCAAGAAGTCAATGACAGGGCCCCCAGGGCGGTACTGGAACTCCGAGATGATCTTCCAGTGGTGAACTGAGCTTCCTGAGGCCAGTGTTGCTGGAGAATCTCTGTGTAGGAGGGGCACAGTGAGCGGCTGAGGGGTCAGGGGTGTAGGCGAGGCCCCAGGGGCCAGGTGAGGACCAGGTAGGGACAGTCCCACTTACATCTGATTCACTTCTCTGTTCCTGAGGAAAGTCCTTACATCCAGGTTCCTCAGCCTGTAGGCCACCTAAGACAGAGGATGGGGATTCGGGGGTGGTAGAAGTGGGGTGAGGCTCAGTCCAGAAAGGAGACCCTTCCCACTTTAGTGTATTTATTCATTCTTCTTTCCTTCCTTGAATGTGAGCCCCAGTACCACCAGAATTTCTGTATCCCTACACGCCAGCTTAGCCTGGTGACTGGGGTGGGTCCCTGCTTGATAGAAATGTGTTAGTGAGTGAAGGACTTTACGTACTCTCACCGCACCTCGTATCACAAGGCGAGAATTGGAAGTGAATGATCCCCACTTTACCTCTGATCACTCTCTCATTTTCTCCCCTCATGTATAATGAACACCAATCACAGGTAGCCAGACCTGGGGATGGCCAGGTGCAGGGGATGTCAGTGTGACTAAGGAACAGTCCATACTTAAAGACCCATAGTCTGGCACGGTAGACAGACATCAACAGATTTACCATGCAGCAGCAGCAGCAGCAGCAGCAGGAGTAGGAGCAACTGTAATAATTATTCTGGTAATTTTGTGATACATTGTGTTTCAGGCACCTCGTTAAGTGCTTTATGTACATTATCATTTAAACCTTGACACGGCCTATTGACATAAGTCCTATAATTCTTTCTAGTTTTACAGATGAGACATCAAATAATTTGTCTAATTATCATATCTGCTCTAGTGAGTGGCAGTGCCAGAATTTGAACCCAGGTAGGACTCTAGAGCCTCAAAACTCAACTACTGTGCTATTTGCCTGGGATTGGGGAATGGATGAGGGAGGGGAGCCAAGAAGAGGGAGCCCCCAGCTCCTTCAGGGAAGTCAGGGAAGGCTTCCTGGAGGTGAAATGCCCACTGTGTTTCTTCCATATAATAACAAAGTGCAAGTCTCAAGGGATGCTTGGAAGGGGAGGCTATGTTGACACCATGGACTCTGTCTATTGTGAGTTGGTCATTCCAGCCCCTTTGGAGGTCTCTGTCCTGGGCCTTTCTGCCTTCCTCACCCCCAGCCTTCCCTGGGGCAGGAGGCTCCAGCCCCTGGCAGTTAACTCTAGACGCATGATGAGACCCTGCCCTGAACCTGCCAAGATCCACCTCCCCACCCAGAGCCGGCCCGCAGCACTGACCGAGGCATTGACATCTGCAGAGGAGGCATTTTCGTCTTCAGCGAGTAACAGCTGGATGATTCTTATGGGAAGCTCTGGAGATGGGAGAAGCAGATTTGTAATCGCCTCACAAGTTTACCCAGACTTACCCAAGGAGGCCAGCCGAGAAGACCGCCCAAATCTACAGTGACGGTAGATCACCAGAGGAGTCAGGAGAAGTGGCCAAGTCTATTGACTCTCACACTAGTGGGTGTTAGACTACGGCCAGGGCTTCCCCGACTCTTGTCTCACTGAGCTGTGAGGTAGCCTTCAGTCTTTCCTCAGCAGACGGCTCAGGCCCGTGGTTCCTGCTGTGACAGCTGCCCCCTTCTCGCTCCCGTGCTCTACAGCTTACCACCAGCTGAGGGAAATTGGGAGTTCTGTCCTGTAAGTTTGAGGAACTTAGCTTGGCCCCCAGCGGAGAACTGGGGATGGCGGAGCATCTGGTCATACCTCGGGCGGCTGGAGTGAAATTGTTTCCGGCCAGGAAGCAGCGAGTGTCGGTGAAGGCTTGGGGGCAGATGCAGGCAGGCTGGCAGTCCGCAGTCTGGGAGATGTAGCAGTGGCCGTAGTTATAGCAGTAATTTGCAGGGCAGGACTTGTTCTGACAGGGGAAAGAGTTCTCCAGAGCTACAGAGGGAGCAGAGAGGTCAGCAGTACCACACTTGGCAGCAGGGGGCAGCCTCCAGCCCGCGGAAAGCTGCTCCCAGGACAGGCTTGGTTTCTATCCCCCCAAAGCCCGCTTGAACTGTGTTCTGCTCGTGGGCCACTCTGAACCCCAAACTATCCTTCCTTTTCCAGACGTTTCTTCACCGGGCAACCCCTTTTCCTCTGCCAGGTAGGGATTCTCCCACCTCTGCTGAGGAAATGGATGTTTATCAGACCCTCTCCATCAGGAAAGGACCCAGAAGGCTTGCAGGAGAAGGGCCCATATGCCCACTTTCCTCACTGGCATCCCCTTTCTCACCTTTCTAAGGCTGTGATTCTACCTTCTCTGGTCTCTGCTCAGAAGACGCAGTGGTCTCTAGATTTCATTGGAGCACTTTAGAGGGCTTAGGAGAGGCCGCACCGTGATGTGATGCCCCTAATGGCTCAGAGGTCGAGGTGACTCAGAGATCCAGGAACAGCTGGTGGGAGGAGGACTCAAAGGGAAGACAAGACACCCCTGCTGCCTGATGCCCATGGCAGCCCCTCCAAACGTCTGATTGGGGAGAGGCAGAGACCCTGGGCCCTGCATCTCCGAGAACCCTTAGGAGTCTGAGGGCCCCACCCCGGCTTGCTTCTCGTTCCCTGGCTGCTGTTAGAAGTTTCATCTCTTCTCCAGGCCATGTTCTGTCTTTTGTCCTGGGTTTCCCACACTGGTGCCTCAAGGCTGCTCTGGCCTCTCCCGCCTGCCTGTACAATGTTTTCTCCTTCAGTCTCACACCCTACCTACCTGCCTTCCCTCCTTACCATACCCACCTGTACTCAACATTCTAAAGACTTGCTGGCAAATGGGGAGAAGTGGTTTGCCCTTGGTTGTCCCAGGCCCTAGAGATGTCACCTGTCCCCAGGACCACCTCCTGCCAATCCTTGTCCCCAGCTCACTTGCACAGTGACGTCCATCTCCAGTCAGGTGCGGAGGGCAGGCCTCACAGCCCTTCCCAGGAATGCACTTCACACCTTGGAAGCACTGCACATCGCAGGGGTCACTGGAGCGTTCGCAGAATTGGCCAAAGGTGTTTTCGTCACACATGCAGTTGGCCACCTGGAATGGGTTGCTGATCACTGGGTGGCCAGGAGGCTGAACAATTAAGGGCTTCTGGGTGTTTCTGTACTGACCCCTCTGGTCTGAGTCCTTGTCTTAATTCTGCCAGTATCCACCAAGCACCTTCCTGGCCAGGCCCTGGGCCTGCCTGTCCCTGCCCAAAGGCAGACCGTCCTGGGGCCTTGTCACCTCCCTGGGCTGTCCTTTGCCCTGAGCCCTCTGCCTGGTCCTTGCCTGGGATCTCAGCCTCTTCCCTCTCACATCTTATCTCCTTGCCTGAAATCCCTTCTAGAGTAAGATGGGGGCTAAATAAACAAACATTCTACTACCCTTGGAAAACTGGACCCCATGTAAGTTGCAGCTTCCCGTTCTCCCTTCCCTTGCTGACTCCCAACCAAGAAGACAGAGGCTCGCTGCTAAGCGTGAGAGCCCACAGTCACCAGAACCAGGGCACAGGGGAGAACTGTGCCAGAAACCTCATCACACTCCTGGTCTTTCTTTTCTCCCCTACGGCGATGACTCTGGAAAGCTCCTTGCAACGGAACCCTTCAACAATTTCTACTTCCAAGACTGGATATCTTGGGATATCTAGAATAATGTATTGATTTTAATCCCTTTTCCCCCCATTTTTTTTTCTCTTCCTGGACTCCCCTACCCCTGTCCCTTTCAAGCAGGAATTCTCTGCTCATGCTTCAGGACTGGGGTGTGTGTGTAAGGGGTGAAGGAAGTGGTGGGGTATTGCCAGCCAAACGTTTTCCTTTCTGGCTCCCCCTTTACAAATAAAACAAAAAAAAATTTTTTTAAATGCGGATGGCACCAGATTCATGGATTTAGGCCAAATATTTTGGCTAGAAACTTGAATGGAGAAGGATTTTCTCCAAACTGCGAAAGAGATGCTTCTTTCAGTTGGAGGAAGATAGAGAAAGGGACAGAAAAAGAGTTTCCGGGGTGCCAAGATCAGAGGAGAGCTGTACCTCTCTTCTCAACACCGTGAGGATGAGGCCTCAAAGGAATGGCCGTGCAGTGCTTCTAGGCTGATGGGACCCTAAGCCACTGTACAGAAGGTCTCCTGTGTCTGAGCAAAGGCACCAGAGCCACAGAGTGCCTCCCTCAGTCTGAAGGGAGGGAGCATGGAGATTGTGGTCCATGTAGACCCAGGCCCAGTGACCACAAGGGCACCTTCCCACTCCATGCTTCAGTGTCCTGTTCCAGAACATGGAGCTGGGAACCACTGGGCAACTCTAAGAAAGGCTGAGGTGGAAGTTTCCTGCAGGCCTGACTGAATAGGGGCTGAGAGAGAAAAATTCAGTTGAGCTATAAGCAGTAAAGAAAGTTCTATTTCTTATACTTGCAAGTTTGTGGCCCAAGATTGGTATCAGCCCCCCTCTCCTACTACAGCTCCACCCACCTCCCGATACACACATTATCACAGGCATTCAATGACAACATCCCTTCAATTTCCACTTCCTTTCCCCTCAACACGGAAGCTCCCTCCCCATCCTTCTCTAACACTCACCTCCAGGGAGGAATTGCCCACCCAGCTGGTCTGGTTGTATAAGCACTGGCTCTTTGCCTTGCAAGCACAGACCACAGTCCTTGGCTTGAGCACAGATGACAAGCCGTCCTTGGCACTTCTTGCTAGAATCTCCAGAGTAAATGGTTCCAGCAGCTTTGGTGTCCATAGCAGTGTCCCATTCTCTGCCCCAGGGAAGACAAGATTGTTGAGAGTGGGGAGTCACATCTGCCCTGCTGTCTGACACATCCTGGCATCTAATACCCCAAGTGCTGAGGCTGGACTCCTCTCCACCTCCCCAGACCACTTGTCCAATCTTATCAACCATTTCTTTCAGCAATACTGGCTTCCTCGAGTGATCCTCCTGAGCATGCCCCAAGCTGGAGGTGGCACCAGCCCAACTAAGGGATTCTAAGGTGGGGCTCCACAGAGGGGAAGGCAGTTGCCCCTCTGAAGGGACCCCAAAGGGTCACCCTGCCTGGGCCAAAGGACAGGACATTTAAGGGTAATGGAGGATGAAGGCCAGGATGCTCCCAACACTTCCCCAGGCTACTTGGCAGGTCTTCTGCAGAGAAGAAGAAAATGACTCCAGCGTCCTGGCAGCCCCATCCCTTGCCCTGATTTCTCACCCACTGCTCTCATTTCCTGGACCTTTCACTAGCCACCTTCAGACACCAGACTACAGTGAAACACTGCTGCATATCAATGAGGACTCTTCTGATCAAACCTGCCTTATGTTGTGCAAGAAAATAGGGAAGTCTCCTGGAAACAATAGGTTGAGAGGAGCAGATAGTAGGGAACAGATAAGAGTAATTCCCAGGCCGTCACTCTTCAGGATAGGAGCCCAGTGGAGGAGAAAATCTGCTGCCATTGACTGGGCACCTGGGAGGACGCCACGTGGAGCAACAGGATGCAGGCAAAGTAGTCCTTTCTTAAGCACAGAGAAAGGAAATGAGTCAGAGAAGTGCTCAGAGCTCAGAATGAGGTCCCTAAGGGCTTTGATTTAGCAAAGTACAGTCACCAGCTTAATTAGTGTTGGCAACAGAAAGCAGGTTGCCTCCTGTGGGCTTTGACTCTTAACCCAGATCAGGGTCCAGGCCTGGGGTCTCCACACCATTACTGACAGGAAAAGTTGAAGCTTTCAAGGAGGTGCAAAATTAGGTAAACACGTGAGAATGTACTGAACGAAGGTATTTATAGTTTTTAAATCTTGTTCTATATGATATCCTTCTTTTAATAGATATGAAAGTGTTTTAAATTAGCCTTTGTTAATTGTTATATTTAATAATTTGGTGATTGCATAAAGATGATTAAAGATGATTGCATTTTATAAGATTGAGATGAAATGATCTTTACACTGGATCTTAGCCAAAGGGCCGGAAACTAGTAGATGAAATGATCTTTGAATCAGTTGCATGGGCCCAGAGTCACCAGGGTTAGCTGGTAAAATCATCATAAGCCCATCACTGCTAGTCCCTAGGGGCCATCTATCCAAATTATAGGAATAATTCCTAGAAATGTTGGTCCTGGGTATTCCAGTGGAAAAATGACATGAAGTTGCACAGGGTATAAATGCAAAATTACCCAAAGCTTGACTCTGACCTCATCAGCTATGGCCCCAGTCAAGCATTCTTACCAAAGAGCTTGAAGTCAGCGCTGTTGTTTCTGAGCGTGAATGTGACGTTCTCAGCACTGCTGGTGTAATTAACCAGCATGGTCTGTCCGGTGAAGGCTTTCAGCTCCTGAAAACCCTCGATAGGGGGCGGGTACTGATCTGAGACACAAAGAAGGGATTCGGGGTCTGAGGCAGGATACTCTCTTGCCTTCTGGGCCTCCTCTCTCTTTCTCTAGTCCTCTGGCTTGTAAGAGGCATTCCCAGGGCTGTGACCCACCTCCAGAAGCAGGAATTATCCTGTGTAACTGCTCTCAAACCTACGCAAATCAGGCTGCGGTTGTATTGCCCACCAGGCCAAATCTTTGTTCCCTTTTATTTTCTCCCCAAACAGGGTTTATTTCAAGTTCTTTCCTGATCAGAATGCCATGCTGGGCATGGTATGAAGTGAACCAGAGGACAGGGTTGTTGAGACCAATGCAGAGTTTTACCTTCAGAAGAGGGCCAAAAACCACAAGGGTCATATCTCACGGGCATTGCATTTGTCAGGAAATAGAGAGGGGTGAAGCCCTTTCACCGGTCCCTGTGTTTTGGAGCCCTGCTATTTCCATTTCATTTTTGATTCATCCATTTATTCATTCAGTCACTCAACAAATATTTATTGTCACCTACTCTACGACTGGCACTGTTCTTGGAGGTAAGAACACAGCAATGAACAAATAAGAAAGATACCGATGAAAATTTGAAAATGTGTTAGATAGTTATACATGTTAAGGAGAAAAAAAATTGAGCAGGGAAGGAAAATAGGAAGTGTGGTGAACATGAAATTTTAGACAGGCTAGCCAAGAAAGGCATCGCTGAGAAGGTGACATTTGAACAGAGACTCAAAGGAGGTGAGGGGCAGGCCCGTGGCTGTCTAGGGGCAGGCGTTCCAGGCAGAGAATAGCACATGCAGAGTCTCGGAGTTGGGAGTGAGCCTGGCGTGTCTGAAGAAGAAAGAAACCAGTGGGGCTGGAATGGAGGGAGTGAGGCGAGAACACTAGAAGAGTTTGGAGAGGCAATGGGGCCAGATTGGAATGACTTTGAAGGTTGACATAAGGACAGAATGAGCTGTGGGTCATGGGAGGGTTGGAACAGAGGAATAACATGAGAAAAAGAAACTGTTAAATTTGAAAAATGTGTAGTTTTAAGGAGTGTCGTGGAAGCAGGGGCTCCTCATCTGCTCCGTAACTCAGCACAGGCCTCCCCGGGCCCCACCACTTACTCAGGGTGGAGTTCATCTGCTGGTAAACTTTAAAGAGCATCCCAGTGTGTTGTCCAAGTTCCACATTTTGTGTGGCCAGGGCGTCATAGATGCATTGTTCATCTCCATTACACTGGGAGGTCAAATTTCCATTCAAGGATTTATTTTCCCGCAGTTGTGAAAGGAACACAGGGGTGAAGTTGGAAGGCAAATGATCATTCCTCTTGCCAAGGAGGCTTGTTCCATTGATTTCCCCTAAAACACATGAGGTGTGATGGTGGCGGGACCATTTAGTTATATTTCTTTCTTGTCCACTCCTTATCCTCATGTTGTATGGTTTGAGGGGTGGATGGGGACATGGAGGGACAGAGTGACTTCCAGCTTCTGAGATTGGAAATGCCTGCTCTAGTGAGTGAGGGCCACCCACTTCTTCTCTTCCAGATAGAGGGACTCAGGTGGGTTGAGGGTGGAGCGGACAAATCTGAGGTGGCACCAGAATCTTCAGGTCTCTTCCTGGCCTTTCCATCCCTCCCTCACACAGGACAGAGGTCCGGTTCCCACAGGACTGAGGGAGGCAGTGCAGCAGCTTCCCTTATCCTGGCCCTGCCCCATCTGCCCGAGGACTCTGAGGCCCAGACTCACAGGTCATTCCATAGTGAAAAAGTGTCTCCTCAGTGCTCCCCAAGGCAATGGTGGAGCCATTGGGCATCCTGAAGTCGTCATGTGGGTTGCCGTTCCAGAACCCTGAGGGACAGAGCAGGAGTTGGCCACCCTGGAACTGTGACCCTCCCCTTCCCTGGGGAGCATCCAGCGGGTCATATGGAGATGTAGGGAGGAGAAGGGAGCCTGGGGAGCCTTTGCCAGTTGCATGTGTTCTTGGTTCAGTTATCCAGGAGAAGGAGAAAGGACTATGAGCCCAGAGCCCACCCCTCAGCTTTAGGGAAGAAGAAAATGAAGGAGGGAATGGAGAAGGAATGTTGGGGGTGGAAGGAGGGTGGGGAGGTGCGAAACCAGAAGGGAGCTGCTGGACCCACACTCCCCAGAGCCCATCCTTGATGCCCCTTGGTTGCCCTGGAACCAGAGCTTCAGGAGGACGGGAAGTGAGCTTCAAAGGTAGCTGAAGAGGTGCCTCCTCCTTTCCTGAGCTCAGTATCGTCCCAGGGCTCCACTCCAAGGAGGCTGAGAAAGGAAGCCCCATCTGGGAGGTCCGCTGGCCCACGGGATGGGGAGCTGCTGTGGGCTGGAGACCTGAGCGCCTGTTGCAGAGTCAGGCTTCTGCCTGCTCCTTACCCATGAGGCCCTCTGTGTGGTTCTGGTACTCCTCTGGGAGGCTGCAGGAGGCATGGAGGATGTTGGAGAGAGCAATCACTGAGACGGTCACTGTCCCATCGAAGCTGGCTGACACCATGGAGCCATTGCGGGTCATTATGACTCCAGTGGTGTTGACTATCACCTGGCCTAGAATGTGGGGAGACAGATGAGGAAGCAACCATCTGGAGCTCTGGAGGCCCAAGACTGGCAGTAATGAAGGTTCAAGATGCAGAGGAGACTGAGAGTGGCTGGGAGACATCCTTCAGGGTCCTACTCCATCCAGCGGCCTGAAACCATACCCACAGGACATCCTCACAGCACACCCCATCCACTTCTCCCTGGGGACTGAGGACGGGGCTGCCACCAAGAGGCTGTCACACACAGACCCAGAGGAAGGAGAGAAGTGAAGAGGGCAAGTTTGATGCTCTGCTCTGGTGAAGAAACTGCTCAGGCATAGCTGCTGGAGGGATGCAGGGCTGGTGACCTCTCTGTTCTGCCACAATGCTGCTGCCTCTCCACCCCTGCACCCTGCTCCCCCATGCCAGGCACCCCACTGACTCTGACCTTGACCCAGGGAAGCAGGAGAGGGCTGCTGATGGCTGTCCCCAGCCTACCTTCTGCTCCTTCTCGAGTGGTCGTTACATTCTGGTTGTTGAGCCGAACATGGATTGTGTCATTGGGCTCAAGGAGCCATTGAACCTGGAAAGGAATTGGTGGAGGCCTAAGCCCGACCTGCAGGAGGGCCCAGAGGCCAAGGAAGGAGGCTGCGAGGAGAGTGTAGAGCCTGGGCCTTGGACGAAGGTGAGGGTGATGGGAAGATGATACAAGGTGATCTAGCTACCGTGTGCGGGGCGCTTAGCACCCGCCAGGCTCTGAGCTGGGCACATTTCTTAGATTAGCTTTTAAATCTCATAACAGCCCTGTGAGGCAGGTATATTATTATCCCCATTTTACTATCAGAAAAACGAGGCACCAGAGGTTAAGTCATTTCTTCAGTCACACAGCTGGTGGAGCCAGGACCCCAATCCTGCGTCTGTCTCAGGGTTGACTCAAACACTGTGCTGGCAGGATGCAGCCTCCTTCCCTCCTGCCCCCTTCCCTTCTTCCTCCTCAGTCTCCTCCTGGGCCTCAAATTCCAGCCAAAGTTCCCGGAGCTGAAGGTGCTCTGGGAGGGGAGTGCCACCCCCCTCACCGTGATGGGGTCCAGTCTGCTGGAGCTGTATTTAGCAGCAAAGGCAATGAAGTTGGTGGCCTGTGCTGAGCCCGTCTGGGCAGTGCGGCCCTGCAGCATGAAGGAGGAGTTTCTGTCCTGGGCCTGGACCAGCAGGAAATCCCCCAGCCCATTGAAGGTGTAATTGGCACCATCCAAGGTAGTGATGTGGGGGTCCCCGAACATCCAGGCTGGAAAAAAGAAGGCACCACATTGGCATGGCAGACCAGGGAAGGGGCTAGGATTTCTCACTGCCCCCAGGCAGGGTGTTTGCCTGGGAGACTCCAGCCTGGGGAGGTGCTCATGGAGCCTAGAACAGTCCGGAAGCTCCCTTGCATTGTGTGCCCCCCACCCACCTCTCATTATCTCCCCTTCCCTCAAGGACATGTGTAAAGTCCCTTGTTTGCTATCTCTGCACAATGGAACCATGTCCATCTTCCTTTGTGGCCACAGCCCTGCCCCAGGAAGCTTGTGCCACCCTGGTCCAGACCCCAAGAGGCTTTCTCCCCCTTCCCCTGCCAGATCTTCCACCTTGGCCCTGCCCCAGGGCCAAGCTCCAGCAGCCTCACCGGGCCTCGGGGGCTGGTACCCAGAACAGCCAATGCGGGGCCGCCTTAGCTGGTACAGGGCGCAAAAGGAGGGCTTGTCGTTGAAGCGGCAGCACCAGTTCTGAGCCTCCAGTTCTTGGTCTGTGGGGAAGGGAGCTTGTTGAGGGAGGTGGAGGACGTGCAGACCCCAGCTGGGAGGTTTGGGCAGGATGACACGGGCAGCACTGGCATGGCTTGGGAATCAGGGGCACCTCACTTCAGATCCTGCCCTGTGCAACGACCTTGGACCATTGACCAGTCCCCTTTTCTGACTTGTCAGAGCCATAAGCAGCAAAGCTCCCGATGGGCCGGGCACAGGGTCCTTCCTTTCTTGAAGGGTGGGGTGCTGAGTCCCACAGCTCTCAAAGTGCTGAGAGTGAGAAGTCATGGCTGGTGGTCTGGGGACTAAGGAGGCTGCTGCGATTACAGGGAAGAGGATGGGGGCAGACACACTTTGGCCCCCCAACCCTGTGCTTTCTAGCTCCTTTGGAGGGTATCTGTGGGAGATGACTCCACGTCTTCCCCCATACAGCCTGCTAATCTGGGTCCGGATGGACAGGGTCAGACCAGGTCCCCTCCCCTTTCCTAGAAAGATGCCCCCATTCTGGGCTGGGGCTATGAGCCAGGTGGAGATGGAGCAAGAGGAACTCAGTTGTAAATCCCTAAGATGCCAGCTGAAAGGGAAGTTGGAAACTTCCTAATGTTACAAGATCAGGAAATTGAGGGTCAGAGATGGGTAGTAGCGGGGAGGAAATGGGGACGAGAGGCCTCATTCTGCAGCTCCCACAGCTGGCATGGAGCCCAGGCTGGGCTCTGACAGGGAAGAACAGAAAGCTCCAGAAAAGGCGGGGTTGAGAGCTTGGTGGACACACGTACCAAACTGCCAAGGACTCTGCACACTCCAGCCTTCGAGAAGCTCTCCCCAGCGCCCGTAGCTGCAGCAGACGCCCCCACGCCAGGAGGAGAAGCTGCACAGCTGGCTGCTGCCGGCATACCACCAGCCTGCAACAAGCCAGACGTACTCAGGCCCAGGGTGCCTGTGGGGGGTGGTACAATGGGGTGGGGGTGCTTCTGGGGAGGAACCGAGGGGGTCCTAGAAGGGACAGGTCAGGTGTGGTCAGAGAGAGGGTGGGTGGGTCTGTGGGGGCCAGAGGGTGACATAAGAGACAGGAAGGGGGTGTCACCTATGTTGATGGGCTGGAATCTTAAGTCCCACAGTCCCTGCTGCCAGGAGCAAGGGCAGGAGAGGCTGGGCCCCTGAGGCTGTCTCTTCAATGACTGCAGGCACCTGAGACGGTGGTTGGGCTTTTCTTTCCTGTGTAGCTTGTAGACCTGCAGCCCTCGGAGGCCTGGGGAGCAGAGGAAGGGTTATTCCGGGGCCTGAGGCCACAGGCTCTGTGTTAGCTTTAGGGACAAGCACAACTCATAAGTGCCCCTCTGTATGTCACTCCCCCAGCTCTGAACAGCTCTTCCAGGGATGGGCCCAGTTCAGACTGGTAGTAACTCCTCCCTACAGGCCGCTTTAAATGACCTCCAAAATCTCAAAGCTTGGATCGTAGGGTGAAACCCTGGACAAGTGCTGGGCAGGGAGGCCTCATCTGTACCCAACTCAGAGTCAAACCCTGACTCTAGACTCCAGAGCCCAGTGAAATACAACAGGCCATAATGTATTCGATTTTGACCCTGCTTCCACACAAAAGAAGAAATTCTCAAGATAACTACAATTTGATAGGGTTTTGAAAAGAATAATCATTGTTTATGATTATCTGTTTGTGTATCTTCTCAATGGCCTGGTACAGAGGAAACACATGGGATACTTTCCTCAAATACACACACACACACACACACACACACACACACAAAATCACACTGCACCCTCTACATCACAAGCAGATGCATCTTGATAGAAGGGCCTTAATCTGAAACGACAGCTTTCTCCACAAGATGGCACCCATGATTTGACTTAGCTTCCAGAAGTTCTTGCCACAGAACAAATAAAATTGGATTTATGCTTCACAATTTACATGGCTAATTTCTAATGTTAAAACGTCCCCTGTTCTATCACATTTTGGAAACTGTAATTCTTTCCCCTTTGGGGCCACCGGAAAGTACGGAAGAGGCCCATGGGGCCTGAAGTACTGGCCTTCTTACCGGAATAAGAGCTCTTTGAGAGCAAACATAGTCGGTCTTTTTCATTTTTTTTCATATTCCTGGCTCTTTGCACAGTGTCCAGCACACAGCAGGTACTCAATAAGTGATGACCGAGTGGATGTCAGAGCCCTGGATCTCCTCTTAGTAGATTCCCTTAAGGGATCTCATCTGGGCTCTCATTCCAGCTCTGGGACAAGACACTTGGAGAATGGTCCTAACTGCCCATTCACATCCCACCTCCTGCCACACCCTGTCCTTACTTCAAGGATCTGGGCCCACTGATAGCCCTCCCAAGTTCGGGTCATCCCAGGGAGGACACAGCCCCAGCTGAGACTGCCCTGTATGTGGACACAAGAGATACACTGCTCCCTGGGCAGCGCCAAGTCCGGATTACACCTGCAGGAGGTTAGGTGGTGCTGGAAACACACTTTGGGATGGTGGATATGCAAGGGAGCTGCCCCCAGGACTGTCATTGCCTACGGAGTGGGAGACAGAAGAGGACTTGGTTCCTCGAGTGTAGTAAGGTGGCGTTTTTACCTGAGTTGGAATCCAGGAACTGGTCTGGACGATACCTCTCCCATAGTGGTTGGAATGTCAGTGGGCTGTTTTCGAAATATCCATCTCCACTGCGGACAAAGGAAAGAAGCTTTGGCCTCTGTCACACAGTCTTTCCCCACTGTCGGCAAGTTATCCATTCATCCAGCTGGTCAGCCAGCCAGTCCCTCACTCATTCCAGCTAGTCATTAGTTATCAGCTGGTCAATCAGTTATTCTGACAGTTGGTCAGTCCGCCAGCTAGAACCACTGACTCCCGACACTAAGCAGGAGAAGGGAAGAGACGGAAGGGTCAGGAGTTAGGAGGCTCGAATTTATTCCACATCCGATGGCTAACTGCAGGAAGCCGGTTATGGGCAGGGTGTGAAAACAACAGGTCAGGCCTCCTTCCTGGTAGGTTCCCTTCACCTAGGGGCTGGAGAGGGGGCTCTGTAGGGGACAGCTGGTTGTGAGGGCTAAGAGCCGATCTGCTGAGCTAGGCAGTTATGGGTTCAGTTTCCCATTGCAGCACTTGGTAGCTTGGTGGCCATGGGCAAGTTACTTAACCTCTTCGGTTCTTAGTGTTCACCTCTGTGTGAAAGGGGTCGCAGTAGCCTCTACCTCACAGCATTGTGAAGATCGGATGCAGTAACATTAGTAAATCCCTCAGGACTGAGTGAGGACGGGTGCCATGGATGCGCCATCCCCGCCCGCCTCTGACACAGGGCAGATGACGCACAGGGATGTGACACCTTCTGTGAGTGCACTCAGAATGGTGTGAAATTCCTAGCTTGTTGGATAATTCCACCCCTTTCTCCTTCAGGGCACATTGAAAAACAAGTGAAAGCAACATAATTATAGGGGCCATCCAGTACACACTCTAAGAGAAAAACATTTGCAGCACGTTAATTACCAGTAACAAATTACATGGGAACTTCACAACCGATTGCACAAGTACCATGGTTGAGAACTGCTGTGTCAGAGACCGAGACACCTCCACACTTGGGAACCTACGTCCCCACCCAAGCCCTATCCACCCCTCTGCTCTCCGTCTTTGCCCCAGCCTTACACAAGCTGTTGGTGCCCCTGTGTGAGGGGTTAATTCTCAGCCCGTCAGAAGTCAGGAAGGTTTCAGCCTCATATTTTGGGTTCAAATTCCTGCTTTGCCATTTTCTAGCTCTGTGACTCTGAGCAATTACTCGTCTGTATGTACCTCAGTTCCTTTATCTGCAGAATGGGTGATTAACACTCTCTCTTTCATGGAGTTGTTGTGATGATCAAATACAATTATGCATATTAAGCACTTGGCGTACTAAATGTTGGCTGCTGTTATGATGGTTTTTGAGAAGTTAAAAGAGGTCAGCTAATGTCTGTGGAAATCCGAGAAGTCAAAACTGTGGGAATTATTATCACCATGCACGGAAACTGGGATAGGAATGGCAGAGTTAATAGGGATCTTTTAATGTGAAACGGCAAGAAGCGGGAAGTCAAGTCAGCGCAAGTCAGCAGCATTGGCAAGGAGGTTTGCGCCTCATCCTGGGGGATGTGAACATGTGTGCAGCGAAACCCCTGCTCTGCACCGCTTCCTAGTATCCACTCAGTGCTGACAGCCCCTCCCTGGCCTACCTGGTGAAGCCCATGAGGACGGGGTTGCCTGGGCGCTGGGTCACATCCCACTGCATCCCACCGCTTTGGTAGAGAAACAGGGCGTAGGACCTGCTCCCGTCTGTGGAAAGGATGGCCTGGTAGGTGTTGGTCTAGGGATTGGTTAGAGACACACATACAGATGTTTGTGAGAGATCTGGGATGTCCCACCATCCAGCCCACACCCCGGGCCTGACACCCACGCCACCTCTTCGTGACCTACCCAGGGCAAAGGCTTGGGCTTGAAATACTGGTAAGTTAGGGACTGCGCAGGCAGCTTTCACCCTGGGTGTTAAAGCACCCGTCATGGTGGATTTGCCTTCTTTGTGACTTCTTTCCGGGGTAGGGGAGGTAAAGGACTCTGGGTTAGAGTCCAGTTGGAAGGGGTTTGTATGGCAAAGCTTCAGCAAACTGAGAGATTAGCCAAGGTGCCAGAGAGCTGGGTGAGGCCCGAGGAGCTTCCTCAGGGATAGCTAAGGATATTGTCCAAGTGTCCTCTCAACCTAAGTAGCAAGGAGGACCACGGCCGCTGAGGCTTGAGGGTCTCTGAAGGCGAGTGCCAAGCACTGTGCTTGTCCAGAGTAGGTAAGTTGCTGAGCCAACTGAGCAACAAGTGACTTCAGACCAGACACAAGGAAGCACTCTGTGACTGCCAGAGGGAAGACCAGGGGGCTGTGGTATGCCCAATTACATTGGCTGCGTTTTGGTCGAGAGCCAGAGGGTGGGGTCAGAGAAACCTCTGGCTTTGTCATTTGCTAGCTGGGTGACCTTGAGCAAGTTGCTTAACTTCTCTAACCATCATCTTCCTCATCTCTGATACATGGATAACAGTATCAGGTTGAACCATATAAAACTGCCAATAGCCAGCCATTTTTGACTCACAAAATTTCCATGTCCTACATTTCAACCTCCTAATACCCAGTGCTCTGGGCTGCTATGAGGTCGTGTAAGCAGAGGCACACCTGGTACAGGGTGAGAGCTCAGCAAATGGGCTGGGGTGCTGGAGGAGGAGGGGTGGGGGTGGGAGGTTGGGGGTTGGGGGGTGAGTGGGGAGGGCAGTGCTATAATCACCAATCTGTCCTTGAGTCAAAGAGGATTTTAGAAGAGGAGGCCTCACGTAGGATTCTAGGATGCCTGACTTCCAGGTTGCTCACAGGAAGCTGCCCACTGGTCCACTTACCCCGAAGGTCCTCCAGGCAGGATAGGCGGGGGCACGGACCCACGTGACCTTTAGCGTCCACTTGGCTTTGTAGATCCAGGCGTCTGTCAACATTTTAATCTGAGACTCCACCCCCTGCACTAGTGGGTTGTATTCATCATACAGTGTCTCATATTCCTAGGAGAAGAAGGCAGATACGGACAAGGAAACGAGAGACCCCGCACTGTCTGCCTGGTGATCCTGCTCACTTTAGTCCACCCCTGTCTCCCATCCTTCCCCGTCCTGGGCCTACATTTTCAGTTAGTTCCTCTGACCTTAAGGTCAATTCAAATTCTGGGAAGCCTAGGGCGTGTGGAGTGGTGACTCAAGGCCCAGAAACCCAAGTTTTCTGGACCTGAACTTCTGCATCTCTTAGCACAAACTGGCTTGGACTTTGTGAACACCTGCGCCCATCTGTACCTCCCTGTATCCGACTGGAGGCTCCTTGAGGACAGGTGTGTGTTTCTCCATCTTTGGACCTTTTACAGTGCCTCATCTGAGGTGGGGGCACGATCCATATCCACCTGCGGTAGCTTTCACAATGTGAATAGCTCCCACAGAATGGAATCATTAACCCAATGCGGGAGCACATGCAGGGGCTTCACTTGACTCAGGCTTTCTGGGACAGACCCCCTACAATCTCACTCTAAAATCAAATGATGGATCACCAGCCCCCATCACTGTCTCCTGCAGGTCTTTCCATGGTTGTGTCCTAACCTGCTTCCTCCCCACCCTCATAGTTAAGTTTCAATCCCCGCCCATACTGAGCCCAGGCTCTGACAGCCGTCATACTTGCAAGGCCCTCTGCACAGCCCTTTGTCTCTCCTTGCTGGTGGCTGGAGGACCCTGAGCTTTGAAAGGCTCACCTGGTAAAATATGGTTCCCTGGTGGCTGGAGAAATCAGCATCATCCCAGAATGGAGCCACCAGGGCCACAGGGTCCTGGGCTGTAAAGCCTCCAAGAGGAGGGTTGGGGTCAGAGAAAATCTGGTACTCTGGGAAAATGATCTGGCCATTATCTGTGAACTGAGCACAAAGGTTTGTCCAGTTAGCACTCAGGAAGGGAGGAAGGGAGGGAACATCCCAGCCTCGGGCCAACTCCTGGGCCGCGTGAGCCCCAAGGGCCCCTCTGGGTAGAACTTCAGCTATGTCGACACCCTCTGGAAGGTCTCATCCACCTCTCTGCCTGCTGGGAGAGCCCCTGCATGTAGTTCTCACACAAATACTCCTCACCCTTAGGACATTCCTCATGTCCCAAGTCCTTCCAAAGGTGGTAGGTTTTGTCCTGCTTCAGTGGCAGAGCCGTCTGTAGACCAGCCCAATCACAAAGCAGAGCACAGAGCAGTCTCTGGGTAAATCCTCTCACCCCACCCTGAAGCTTGTGCCACATCACTTAGGGCTAAAAAGACTGATACCCTCACCACCATCCCTGTGTCGCCCTTTCATTCTGTGTCCTGACTCAGCCCCTTTACCACGGGCCATAGTGGCCACGACGGCCGTTCAACTCTCCTCCCGGAGACGTGGGGAACTTGGACCGAGGAACGAGGAAAGAATTAGAGAAAATGTGAACGGCCTCAAACACTCAGGTTCCCAGGCAGAGCTTCCTACTCATAAAAAGGGCCCATGAAAACAGTTTACTGGGCCCTGGGACCTCTCCACTGGAGGTAACAGCACTCTGTCCCTGCGGGGTGGGGGCCTTGCTCAGCTCCCCATCTCCCTCAGCTGGTGCCCTGTCATTAAAGACAGCACATGCACATGCAGCCAGCGGCATGGACACAGTAGGTGTCTGAAAAGTATTGCTTCCATTTTCCCTCTCAGTCACGGTCATGGTCACGGTCACAGGACCATCTCCAAGCCCTAGACAGAGAGAAGCAAGGCCCATGGAATGCAGGTCATGGGTCCTGCCCTTGAGGGTGCAGCCAGAGACTCACGTAGAGGGAATCTCGGAGAGAGGAGCCGATGGGGAAGCCGATCTGGGGCTTGAAGAGTGGTGAGGTGAAGTCCACAGTCCTCCTGACAAACTCCCGGTCTCCAGCAGTCGGCCCATAGGGGAAGAGGGAAACTCCTGGACAGGTACAAAGAAGAGCAGGAAGTTCTCAGGGGCCCTGACTTCATTAGGGCTGGCAGAAGTCCCCCGGGAGTGTCCCCCGGCTACTCCTTCATTCTTGTCCTCTATTTCCCTAAGTGAGAGCCATCAAGGGCTCCTCCCTCTGCCTCTCCACTTGCATTCAACCCGTCTTTTCACTTTACCCCTTAAATGGTGCTCTCAGCCTTCCCCAGCTTGAAGAAAATCAGGTCCTGCTGTCACAATACCAACAAATTATTCTGCACCTGTTATGGTACTCATCATTCTTTTAAGGGTTAAAAGACAACATTTTTCCAATGCAGTGAAGATGAGTAACTGAAAGATCATTTCACAGAATGAGACTTGTTTGCTACAATGGTATTTCTCTACATAAAGTTGAAGAGCCCCTAGAATTTGTCATAAGACCCTCCTAGAGGTCCTTGAGCTCCAGTTGGAGAAATGTTGTCCTAAAAATTTCACAGAAGGGCCTCCTCCTTTCCATACTGGCCGCCCTCCCCTGGTCTTGCTTGGAATCCTGCAGCTGCCTCCAGCAACTTCATCCTCCACCCCAGTCACCATAGCACCGTTCATCAGTGTAAATCTAGCCACAGCCTCCCTGGGCCTGTTGTCTTCAAGATCCTTTACACCACAGCCTTGCTTCTCAACACTCTTCACCTTACTTCCCGCAACCCCAAAGGCTTTGGGGATTTCCTCCTCATGCAATGCGAAGATTGCTTTTTCCGTCCATGCCTTTATTCCAGCTGTTCAGGCACTCCCGCCTTCCTGGGGCACTTCCTCTTCCCAGCTCCTATTCATGCTTTCCAGGAAGCCCCCTCGTCACCTTGAACCCCTCCCCTCCCCGGCCAACATTCCCTGAGAGCCTTCCAAGGTGTGCACCCAATACCCTGGACTTAGTCCTCTAATGGCACCTATGGAGGCAGCAGATCTGTCTCTTGCTAAACAGCACCTTGATCATTTCTGTATCTCCAGTTCCTAGCTCAGGACCATGTCTAAAGCCAGCCATCAGCACCCAACTCTGATGCTGTCTCATTGTCCCCTGTAAGGCTCTTCTGATTGGAGACAGCAGAGTCTGTGAGCGGGCAGGCTGAGACAAAGCACTCAGTTACCTCACCCTTATCAAGGGGATACGGAGAGTAGCTGGACTTCCCATGGTCCAGATGCAGCGGTGGAAAGATCCACAGAACTGGTTCCCCCAGCTACCCACAAGAACCCTCATCAGTAGATCCGATCCAGCTGCCGGAACTACAACATCTCCATCTAACTCCAACCTCTCCGTCCCAGCTCTACAGAACCACGGACCTTTCTCAGGCTTGATAGGGCCCAGGGCAGCTGTCGAGTGGGTGCCCGTGGAAGTCCTAGAAGTGGAGGCTGTTAGGCTCAGGGAGGTTGTTGAGGGTAGTGATGTCGTGCTTCTCTTGCTGCCTGTCCTCAGTGAGGTTATGGTTGTTCCTGGACAGACAGAGAAAGAAGGCTAAGTGGGTCTTACAGTCAGGAAGTATCAGAGATAAAGAGAGACACAGGCTTCAGGAGCTGGAAGAAACAGTTACAAAATTGTCTTCTGGTCACACTCAAACCACCCCCTGCAAATCAGCAGTTCTCTCCGGGACAAAGGAGGTGATCAGCTTGTCACCCACCAGACCCCCCCCCCCCAAAACCAACTTCATCTTCTTGTGGACCTGACTTCCAGCCTGGCAATGCTAACTCACCATCTTCTCCCAAGCACTCTTCTAGGCTGAACAGAGTCAGATGGTCCACTATAAGAGACAAAGGTGCCAGAGTTCCCACCTACCTGATGCTTCGGTATTTATGGTGGAGCTTGAGGATGCTGCAGATGGTGGAAAAGTGCTGGCAACAGACAGAGTAGTGGGGTGACTTGTAAATAGGGCAGTAGAGCTCCAGGTGACTGCAGGGCCAGGTGCTGCTTGAGAGAATGAAGAATTAATGGTGGAAGTATAAAAACTTGATATACTCAGAGTTGTTCCCATATTACCAGAAGTCAGGGAATCAGAGAAAGCAGACTCTGTGGAGGGCTGTACAGTAGGCAGAGAGGAAGATACGCTTGTTTCAACAGAAGTGAAAGTCTCCTGAGGAACGGCTCCCAAAGAAGTATGTCCACTTCCGGATGATGAAAGAGTGGAAGGGTTGACTACAGTGAAGTCCCTGCTATGTGATTTGCCAGTGGTCTCCATACTGGGAGTCTGAGAGGCCTGAGGAGACCTTGACGTTATCTCACGAGAAGCGCTGGAAGTGGGTGAGGTTGATTGTTCCACGACTCCCCTTGTCGTGGAGACTGCAGAAGTGACTGGAGGGTTACTGCCCACAACCGGTTTTGATGTGTCCCCTGTTCTTCCTGTGGGGGTGTCGACTGAATTTTGTGACGTGACTGTCTTTGAGGTCATTGGAGATGTGTTGCTTACGCTAGATAGGGATGAAGTTCTGCCTGTTGAGGTTGGTGCTGTGAGCATCTGTGATGTTGTCCCGGGTGTGTGGGTCACACTGGATGGGGA